TTCGGTGAAACAGAGTGAAGAACATTTGGTCGAATTATGGCAGTTTAAGAAAAGCACTCAGGTCAACAATAGACTGCTCTGAAAATACCGCAGCTGCATTGAATACGTCGGTTGTCTCCTTACCCGCATTTGGTCATTTAGTTCGACCTTCATGCGGCCCAGGACCTTGGCTTCTCCCCAAATTGTTTCAGTGTTGAAATGATTGATTTCTGAATAACTTTGTTCGGAATTCTAACTAATTCGGAATATTTAATAACTAATTCGGAATATCACATTAAAAATTGTAAGAGATGTATTATTTTTAACAAGGAGGATGAAATACAACCTAAAACAAATTTTCAACGACATATTACAAATTTATTTTCATTAAATGATTAATTTAGCGTTAGATTAATTTAGTGTCATGAAAGTTTTTTGGCGGTTTACATGACAGTGTGTCATCACTATAGCTATAGAGAGAATTTTTTAACTGTAATATATTGTCTGTGTCGGAGGGGTTCTTTGACACATCATTCCTCAGATATGTACGCACGGATAAATATAAAATATCACTTTCAGATAGAACAATAATCTAACAAAGTGATGGTACAAATGAGACACGAGGTATACAATTGAAAAATGATTGAGTACGGACGTTTTAATGTGATTGCAGAGAGAATGTCCACTTGTTACTGGGTGGTAGGTGTGCTCAGTCTACCGAGATTTAGGCGTTTAGAAGTGACTACCTACCTACTAAATACTACTTCCATCAAAACATTGATTATCTTTTGGATTTTTTCGGAAGAAAAGAGATACGGCTATGTTGTTTAAGTCTGTTTCTGTCGACCGTTTATCAAAAACCCCACAAATTAATATGAATAAGGGGCGCCTTAGGGATGTGGTCATTTATAATCCTAATCACCTTAAGGGACCCTTATCCTTTAAGATATTAAACCGGCTCTGTAATCTATGTATCACAGCCTACGGTACTTACATGTGACATTACAATTCAAACGGACAAAGATTTTCGATCAGTCCAAGGCGCCTAGCACTGGAAAATCCAGTATTGAACTGAGCCCGCGACGGATTTGATTGATTGATTAGTGATTTTCGTCGCGTCAACTGTGCTGTCAACGTTGGTACCGTAAATATAGTGTATGTTTTCCTCGGGTGGCAGTGGTGGTGATCTTCCTCCTCTGGATTGTGAAATCCAGCGCCGACCTACCGTCGGCTAGCGGGGTCTTCCCCAACCGGGTATCTCCCACCATCGAGATACCGCCCCAGCCAGGCCAAGCTCCTAACTTCCGGCCGGTCTCCTCGGTATGTGTGGTAGCGTAGTGCGTGTAAGTGTAAGTGGTGTAAGGGTTGAGGATAGTTCAAGGGAGAGGAAGGAAAGATTGAGCGAGGTCCGTGGCCCGTTTGTTAGGGTACTACTCCGGCATTCGCTTAATATTAATCGGAGAAACCACGGAAAACTATCCATCAGAGCAACCGGTCGCTAGAATTTTCGACCTCACAGCGACTGAACTCGACCTATCTATCTAGCAAGTGTCGGATCTACAGGACCTCTCGGTCAGAGGCACTGCTGTCATATCAGTTGAAGCCCCGGGCCACCTCTTCCGTTGAACTTGCGGCGGAGAAGAGGGAGGCTGCAGCACGGAGAAGCATCTCGGGTCGGTTCTCCTCGCAGGAGCCATGTTACGACGCCCCTCCGCTCTCCTCGCCGCGCCTCGCCGCGCTGCGCCGTGCCAACGCCCGGCCTTCCGGCGGCGCCAGGAAACCTCTTTTAAACCTTTCGAAACGCACTTTCTAAACGTAGTGCATCTTCCCCTGCCGCCTTGTAGTGGATCCTGCGGACGTCCAGCCCTCTGCGCAAACCCGCCGCCTGCGGTGTCCGCAATCTTGTTCATCCTGGAGACGGGACGTCCTGCCGCCGCCGCTGCCGCGCCGGGAATACCTCTGCACGAGAACAGCAGCAGTATTGGGAGTTTGGCTGACCGTGACATCGGGAGGGAATGGTTTTATGACTGGCGATAGCGAATTGCCCAGCTCGATTACCAAAAAAATAAAATTGACTCAACTAAAGTTAAAATTAATGGTATCTACGAGAAGTTTAATTGAAGTGAAGTTTATTGTCGCACTGCATAAAGTCACTACCAAGTCAGTAAAGATATCAATATCCCTTTCAGCACTGGTTAAAAATTTGTTGATATTTGAGACCATTTTATAAAAAAATACTATTACTTGAAAACCTATGGTTTCCCCGAACGATGTGCGATCTAATTGCGCGAACTATTCCCCGAACGAAGTAATATTTCTCAATTCTTTAATGAAGAAAACAATCGATTATAATTGACTTCTATTGGCTTAACTTACGAGAGTAAACTTCGGTAATAAGTCATCATTAGCGATACCACGTGGAAAATAACTGCCGGTATCTCGAAATTCAAAATATTTCATGAACCTTCCCTGATAATTGTCTGGAGCATTTTGAAGTTCGTTAAGATTTGACTATAAGGATTACTGAGGCGTATTCCAATTTAGATCTCACAATTGCAAAAAAACATTTAAAACATAGATGGATTTGATTTTCTTCCCCTATCTCATTAGAAACCCAAGAGTTTTACAAATGCTCAATACGAGGTACTCATGTACTGTAAATGTCAATTGGCGGTAAAAAAAAAAAAAAAAAAAAAAAAAAAAAAAAAAAAAAAAAAGAGAGAGAGAGAGAGAGAGAGAGAGAGAGAATACCCCTAGATCCCTTGCCAAGTCAACCGATTTTAAAGTAATGCTATTAATTGAATATGCCCACTTTATTGGTGTCAATCTGTAACATGTCATGTCATTACATTTGCTGTGATTTAGAGCAAGTTTAAGTCTATAACAATTCTCATAAAAAATATTTATATCATCCTGAAGAACAATACAATCCCGAGGGAGGGAATTCGCTAGTATAACTTAATATCATCAGCATAAGTCAAAATACGTGACGTAACCGTTAAATAATTAATAACAAAGGCAAAAAGTAGAGGATTCAAATTAGAACATTGCAGTACACCTGATGAAGGAAAGTAAGTCAGAATAATAAACTTCGTACTGCACTATAAATGAACGGAATGAAATATAAGAAAAACAGAACCTTTAATTGTCCGAAATATCAAGACTTTCTAATTTATCTAGCAGAATATCATGATCGTATCGAACGCTTTTGAAAAGTCTATGTTTACCACATCAATTTGCCCATAATCGCTAAGAAAATTAGAAATACATTGCGAAAATGACATTAACTTTGCGACTGTAAAACAGCTGTAGAATATATTTTTAAAAATCTATGATGCACATCAGTTGAGGCAAAAGGAGAGTATAAAATATCACACGAATGATTTTGAAGGATTTTTGAAAAATGCATAAGAGAGAAATAAGGTAATAATTTTCTATCAAATTACGCTCACCTTTTTGAGTATTGAGATGTAATGTTCTTCCTGGCAGCAAATGCAGTTATTCTGAGAACATCGTAGTGAATATGAGGGCATGTGGAAGATTTTTCAATATTGCAATATATTTCAGGGTAGTAGAATTTTCCCAATAAAATAATTTTATTTCGTTATCACCTCTAGAAGCAACAATAACAATTCAGATCATGAAATGAACTAGTGTAGAACGTGTCCAAACAATAGTGCTTGTTGCAAAGTGTTGGAGTGCGATTACCGTATTTTCGAAAGCTAGTTCGTTTTTGTTTTGTATGAATTATATTTGTATAATAAAAATTTTGGAAATTTTTGTGTAAATATATATCATATGAATTTCGGAAATTATATTTCCGTCATTTGATAAAGCTGCAACCCCATAGTTTGTTGAGGCACTAGCCGCCACTGTACGTACGTATTGGTATAAACGCGGAGAAATAAACGTAGTGAAGAGAAAGTTGTGTAATGCTGCAGAAAATTGATTTTGAGATTTCAAGGAAAATACACGTTTTTCGGTCCCCTGATACCGAAAAAGATGTTTATTCTCCAAAATATCTGTTGCTCTGTCCGTCCGTCAGACCGCCTGATTTCCGTCGGTGAACATTTGTGTATAAGCTATTCACAGAATTATTTCCAAAATTTATATCACCCGATCGATCTGGCCTGCCTCCAAGCACTGCGATTTTGAAATGACTTCCTTGAATTTTGGAACACCTTACTTCACATGAAACCCTTAGGACATTTTCAAAATTTTTCTCAAAAATGACTCAAATTATTCTTTAAATTTCTTGAAGAATAGAGTGAAAAAGATGGCATAAGCCCGATGTTATCTTTCAAATTTTGAAAATTACAAAATTTGACACTTTGTGGACCCCTCCTACGAGTATATCATTGTAGAGATTTTTTCTTCAAATGAAATTACTTACCCACAAAAAGTGTTTTAATTAATGTCATGTACATTTTTGAAAATATTAGATAGTCGTTTCGGTGTAGTTTAAATTAAATAGAAAAGTATTTTTACAAAATTCGTAAAAAGTTCTCAAAAACGGCTCCAATGTTTTTCTTTATTTTTTCCTATCGATAGTCTGAAATGAACCTAATAAAATGACATTTTGAGGTTTTCTTTAGAATTTCAAAATTTTCACATTTGTTTTTTTTTTAAGTATCTCTCACGTCGTTAATTTTTTTTCATTACGGATGTTTTTATACGTTATTAGATTTTTATAGGTGCTTCATATGATTTATAATGTAATTGCTCGAATACTCAACAGTTTTCTGTGAAAAAAAAAAAAATCAAAAAAATTGCGCATTTTCAGAAATGCTCAAACGACCTTTTTACTGAAAATTGGCTACAAAATTTTCAATGAAAATTTGCATATATGTCCTTGTTTAACTCTTCTATAACATTCTTATAATCATGTTTCGGTTCTATCACGGCGTAAAGAAAAGGCATTTATTTTAGACAATGAAAATATGGGGGAAAAGTCTCCTACGTGCAAATAGATGGCAACTGAGAAGCCGGGTAAAATCCAAAGCAGGCGTTCTATTCCACTTCCAAATGCACGTATTTATTTCAAGCTGTATTTTCTTCTTCTTCTTCTTCTTCTTCTTCTTCCTTCTCTTCTTCTTCTTCTCCTTTTTCTTCTTCTTTTTCTTCTTCTTTTTCTTCTTCTTTTTCTTCTTCTTTTTCTTTCTTCTTTTTTTCTTCTTCTTCTTCTTCTTCTTCTTCTTCTTCTTCTTCTTCTTCTTCTTCTTCTTCTTCTTCTATGAATCGTCTTTACAGCTTGCTTTCATTTCTTTTATGGCTACAAATTCTTAGTATAGTGTTAAATGAACAGTAAATATAATGGGGGCAAAGTGTGGATGGATTTCCAAAAGTGCACAGTAACCTGGCGGAAGATGAGTGTATTATGCGAGACGTAATTTTAACACGAGAGCTATGAGATAGCAAATCCTGACGTGATACGGAAAAGGTATAAATCAAACTCAGGTCAAGATCAAGAGTACTCGAGCGTGCTGGTTGGCGTTGGCCGGTGCTGGCCAGGTGTTTGTTGAAGCTTGCGACGCGACGCGATGTTGATGTAGTGTAGGAGAGCAATACTCGTACGCCGTTAATGTGTCAAACAAGTGTCAAATCATGTCAGTTGCTGTGAAACTTTGAAGAGTAAAGACCGGGTTAGGTAACGCGGACCTTCGTTAAAAATACTCAATCTGCAGAAATCGGTTTTAAAATGTCGTGCAATTACGCGGATGGACTATCACCTTATGAAAATAAAGGAAAACTAGGTTTGGAAGAGGTGAGATCACTTAATTTTCAATTATTATAGTATACCATAGTGATAAGCGTTGATGCAGAATATTTCATTGTGTTTTCCAGAAATTCGATGCCAAATTAGAAGTGTCAAGAAAAGTGTCAATATTGGCCGAATGGATAAAAAACTCGAGACATGTTGTTGTGCATACCGGGGCAGGAATAAGTACCTCAGCAGGAATTCCAGATTTCAGGTATTTACAAAAACGGTTCTTAATTATCTCAATAATTAATTTACAAGATTTTGCGAATTATGGATGAAGATGTGAATTAAATATTTGTTATTAACTACTTATTTGTAAAGTTAATGATCTGTTTGTTTCGTGTTGTGGATGTGAAAATATTTCAGTTCAATAAAAAGTTTGTATGTATTCATGAAGCTACTCGAATTTCCGTTCCATTTAAGATAAAATAACCTTTACAAATTATGTTTGTTAGTACATACATACCCTTGAGGAATTCACTTGACTTTTCTATTTTCAGAGGCCCAAATGGTGTGTGGACTCTAGAAGCCAAGGGTTTAAAACCTCAAAAAAACATATCATTCGATGATGCTATTCCAACAAAAACTCACATGGCTATATTAAAACTTGCTGAACTAGGTTTGTGCACTACTTTGCAATCGAATGTTTTAAATTTCTTCTAATTTATTTATAGTAATATGTAAGTAATGAAATATTATGTACTTACAGGAAAGGTACAGTATGTTGTTAGTCAGAATATAGATGGATTACATCTTCGTTCTGGCCTTCCTCGAAGTCATTTAGCAGAACTGCATGGTAACATGTTTATCGAACAGTGCAAACAGTGTGATAGACAATTTGTGAGAAATGGTTCTGTCAGCACGGTGGGACAGCGGAGCCTGAATAAACCATGTTCTGCAACCCAAAAGAATGGTCGTCCATGTCGTGGTCGTCTTCATGATACTATTCTTGATTGGGAGCACAATTTGCCTGCAAACGATCTTGAAATGTCAGATTACCATTCATGGTAATTTTCTTTATTATGTTATCCATGTTGTGTATTAGATTAGATTGATTTATGAACATATAAGAGACTATGATTTATGAATAAACCTGCAGTAGTAGAAATAATATTATTTTTTCTCTAGTGTGGCTGACCTAAGTATATGTTTGGGAACAACAATGCAGATTGTTCCAAGTGGAAATTTACCATTAAGTACCAAAAAATATGGAGGTAAACTTGTTATTTGTAATCTGCAACCCACAAAACATGTAAGTTTTATAGTATTTCATGCAAGTAGTTTATTTGTATATATAAAATTGCTTGTATCAAATATTCAAGGAAACTACTGAACATAATTAATCAAAATATATATATATTTTTTTTTTTTTTATCACTCTCTAGTGCTTTATAAACTTTTTCCACAAAGACATAATGAACTCTACTGTGACTGTACAACACTTCCCCGTCAAATGAGGGAATCTCACTCTTTAAAGGTTACTTAATCACCGTTCATCTGGTGATGAAAACAAAAACATATTTCTAGTATTATTTGCATTTTATATGAAGTAAAGAAAACACACAACATATGATTATAAGAGTAAAACTAAAACGTTTTTCCCCCTTACTTCACGAGTTAATAGTTGAATAGATCTGATAATTTATGACACCTTATAAAGCTTCAGGTGAAACCCAGGTTGAAAAACAGTTTTACTTCAATATATGCAACTGTGTTTTGAACTGAAAATTACTCTTAAACTTTCTTTCAATTCACATAATGTTTTCGTTAAAAATAATGTATTATGTTTTTATGTAAATTTTATTCACTTGATCAGTTTAGCGTCTTCAACTTCTGATATTGCTGCAGGTCCTAACCTTCTTAACTCGTTAATTAAAAGTTATTTTACCTCAACTTAGCATAAAATCATAATTTATTTGAATTTAAATTAGTGTGTTAAGTCATTATTTTTCAATACAGGTGTTACATTGGTATGTGGCAGTCTGAAGATTTGCAATAGACTTTAGTTTCTTTCTTTTGTAGCAACTCCTATAAAATACATGATAACCTTTCAGGTTTTGTGTAATCCCTAATAATAAATAGGGGTCTCTATTATTGTAAATGTAAATCAATGCATATGTAAAAAATGTTGTTATAATTGGGATGTGCAGGGTAATGATGGTACCTGATTTGTTTGCAAATTAATAATTTTTAAGCTAAGGGGCTGTCCATAAAGGATGTGAGTTGATTTTTGGCAATTTTTCTACTCCCCCCATTATCTTTCGGTTACATGTTGCTTTATTGAATGCCTCAGGACAACTTGTAAACTGTTCCAGTTCTCTGCTGTAGATTAACTTGTTTCATATTCAGAATTTTATAATGGGTAGTCTACCATGGTAGACTTCTCATGCTTCAAAGCATTGTTTTTTTGTTTTTTTATTTATTTATTATTATTTTTTGTTTTTGTTTTTTTAATATTGTAAGTAATATATTTTTTTAAAATACATATTGTGGTGACATGACAATGTAACTAAGCTAGATTTGTTTATTCATTGCTTCAAAGAATTAATATAAAATTTGGATCCAGTTACTGCAGTGTTACTAATTTTTTGTGGGTTACAGTCTATTGTAAACAATTTTACTTTTATATGATCAATATTTTGTATGAAATGGCCAAGCTGATGGGAAAACAGCCTTGTATAAAATGAATTTTGTTAACAGCTTGCATAAGAATTAATTGAAGTAATTGAGTACTAATTGAAAGGAATAAAAAAGTGTAGAACTGTTATTCTCTATTGAACTCATTGCATAATTCAATTTTAAAATTTCTGAATTTAATAAAAAAATGTTGTTTAACCTTGGATAGTGCATGTGAACAATAAAGAATTCCAGAACCAAAAATTATAGACATTGAATTGCTTTTAACATTTGTCCTGCTCCTTGGTTTTGAAATATATCTCAGTAAATGTTCTTATATAATTTCTAAATTATTCGTTTTGAGTTTTCGAATGAAAACCATTATTTATTTATAGTTTTAGGTTTTCTTAAGTTCAGTGTGTTAGAAATGAATTCTTGGAAGACCTTATTGGTATGCGTCCTTCTTGACATTAAGAACTTAATTATACACACACTTAAGATTCTGCAAAATGAAGACATCTAATTATCTTCTAAAACATTTTGAAATTAAATAACATTGTTTGAAATGTCTATCATTGTTTAATAAACATTTCGAGGAAGGCAGATTATTTGGAATAGTTCTGTAGAATTTGTTTCAAACCAAGTTTAATTTTGGAGGTTTAAGGAAAAAACAATTTTGGTTGTTGCCAGCTTATTACTTCTCATTACTATAATGATAAAAGAGGTAGTACAGTAAAATGTCTATAACAACTTATGAAGTAGATTCACTTTAATTTAGCTACAGTTGTTATTTTGTTCTTGTCACTAGTCAATATGTTATCTCGCTTTTTATTCTAATACACTTGTTACTTCTACTTTCTGTACATTCATCAGGGATTATTTTTAGTATTACACATTTAGATATGTACATTCTTTTTATGCAGTTAATTTTATTTTCATTTCCATTTAGGATCGTAAAGCAGATTTACTAATTCATTCATATGTGGATGAAGTAATGGAAGAGTTAATGGGAATTTTGAATTTAACAATTCCTGAATACGACTCCACAAAGGATCCTACTAAAAGATCTCATACTATTCAACTAGAGTGGACTATCCCAAACAGTGATGTCAAAAGGTTGAGAAATCTATATGAAAAGAAATGTTGTAAGCCAAAGAAGAGAAAAATTAAAGCTGACTCCGACCATTTAGCAGAAGAAGAAGATGAGAAAAAGATAAAAGAAGAAAAAACGGAATGTCCATCTGAATTAATTTCTGTTGAGGATATTCCATTGAAAACTGAAATGGAAGATAATTGCTGTGTTTTACAGGAAGGAATAGTGTTAAGCTAATAAACAATAAAATGACTTTGTATAATGTTTTATTTATGTCACACACCTTTTATTGGAAATTATATAAATTGAATTTTAATTAATGTGGTGAACTTATTTATTAGTTAATATTGATATAAACAATTATTTTATGTGTTAAGAATATGTTAGATGCATTGTATTATAACTTTTTTTTTTTTTTTTTTTTTTTTTTAAATATACAGTTAAAATGATTCCTCAGCCCATTTATGGAAAGTGAAGTTAAGTGCAGCACATACCTATTATCATTCATCTACTACAATTTAGCCTTAAGAGCTGCAATAAGTTATTCACTCTGCACATCACTGCACTCTTACAATTATTCTTCAGACAAGTATAATTCGTAATTTCTTTTTTGACATATACACTGCCCAGCAAGCTACTGTGTTTTATGAGAGCTTTTAAATTTAAAAGGGATACCATTTGGTTAAACTCATTATATTTGTGAACTTATTACGATTTATTTACATTTTCCAGACCCTACCCCTTTATAGGAATTTGTGACATCATTGTAATCGACGTTGCTACACTAATATTTTCTGTTTGGGAAAGTTAATTGACATAACCTGTTTAAAACAGTAGAAATGTACTTCTACTAGATACCAAGATAAATCTCTTCAGCTCTTTTAAAAAGGTCATTAGCAATTTTTTAAACAAGTAATTTTTGCGAAATGTGTGCTTGAAATTAATGAAATTTTAAAAAAAATTATTTTCTTCAAAACTGCCCCAAATTTTTTCCTTAACTTTTCTCCTCTAATGTATCAATGGAAGAAGAAAAAAGAGGGGTGTTAGTCCCATTTTTGGCAACACTCCATGTTTCAAAAATTGCAAAAAGGTAACGTTTAAAAACAACGAAATTAAAAATAGAGATTTTTGTCTTCAACTAAACCTTTGCCTTTGCCTTTGACGTACTTAAAAAAACACTCTTTAAAAATAGTAGTTTTTGGAAAATACTAGTTTTCATGACATTTGTGCTTGATATTTATGAAATTTCAAATAAATTTATTTTATCAAAAAAAGGCTCAAAATTTTTTCTTAAAATTTACTCCTTGTGTGTGTCAAATACTGACAAAAAATATGGTTCTAGTCCCTTTCTTGGCAAACCCTGTGAATTTTGGAAAATTGCAAAAATGTTACATTTCAAAACTACGAAATTGAAGATTGACTTCGACAAAATCTGATCTAAAAAATCATTTCTTTAAAAAGGTCATGAACACTTTTTTAAAGAAACAAGTATATTTTCAGATAATTTCTGGTTGAAATTAATTGCAAATTATAAAAAACAACATTTTCTCAAAACTTGATTGAATTTTGTTTCTTTGAATTTTTTCTATGTATAAAACAAAGGAAGCTTTAAAAAAAATGGTGTAGGTCTGATTTTCATTGCTCTCTCAGAATTTTAGAAAAATGTTTTTTGGAAATATTATGTAAGACAATTAGATTTTTAAGCGTCGACCCATGTTTGAAAGTCACACCGGTTCCTTGGTGTTGAGATATGATGCATAGTGAATTAACTTGAAGGAACTGAATTCGAGTCTTGGAGCATAAAAAAATGTCCTGGTTAAAAACACTTTTGCTGATCCATGTAATAGTATAATATTGAGTAGCAGTTAGAACTAATGCAAGAAATTATGAGCTGTTGTAGCACAACTAGTGTCATTAAGTTGATGTAAGAAGATAATATTCACTACAAGTTGGCCTCTTTCGAAGTAATTCGTTTATGAATCTTGTGTACTGTTTTGATGAATAAATTAGGTCGAGGAGTAAGGACATGTGTAGTCTGATCTTTCCTATTTTTGGATAATATCTACTTCTGTTTCTTTATTTGTGGTTCTTAACTCAACATTTTTTTTATCTGAAATTTATAACATTGCCATACATATTAACATCTTGTGTAATAAACATAAAGAGTTCTTTACAGTAACCTGAAAGCAGTTACAATATCATTCCCATTTTTTCTAATATTGTAATAACTAGGGCTGGGATTATAAATCACAGCCCTAGTAATTACTCATTATACTCATTCAGTATTCTACTGAGAGTCTAATTTCTATTGCTACACCTTCAAGGTTTCATCCGAGGGCATTACTTGGTCTCTCAAATTTATTTTAGGTTACTAGAAAGAGGAAAATAAGATGAATAATTTTTTTAATTGGACTTAAAAGGCAATAAATTGTCACTTAATAACTTTTTCTACAGAGATTTTATTTTACTTAAAACCATTTTACTACAATCATGAGTATAAAATATGAAAGGGAATGTAAATACTAATTAGCCACAACTTTCTTCACTATGGATCATTTTAAAAACTTATCTTTTTTTAAATGCTTACCTTTCTCTAAGCACAGAGGGAATTGTCTGGATTTTATGTAATACAAATTTCAGCTTTATCCAGACATTTTGTGTTCTATGCTGATTTTTGAACTTGTTCTGTACTAGTGGCATATGGCAACAAAAGCTAATGTACTGGGTGGTTCATTAAAAAGGCTGTCATTAAATGCACATGTAGCATGTCACACTTAGTTTTTAACAGTTTTTGATGTTAAATGAATAAGATTATTAAAACATTTCTTCACAATATATCTGCATTAGAACTAAGTTTGGAATTTGGCCAATTTCTGCATTCTTGCAATACTGCTGTATTCTACTTCATGGAGGATGGACTGTGTGTGAACCAGAATATTATATCAGATGTGAATGGACAGAGCCCAACATCTACCACTTAGGATTTGGAAAGAATGACATGAATTTCGTAGTTTTTAAGATACTATGCCAGTCATGCATACAATTGACATAAGTATTGAATTGTTAACTTCTTATTCCATTATGTAATGAAATTTGTATATAATATCCCTAATAGTATAATATCCCAAATAGTGTTGCACTGATTAATCATTTCATAAAAGTTACATTAGATTGAGACAACAATGAATTTCTTGTTTTTTCTGAAATCTTGAAAGAATATAGAATCAATTGAGGCAATTGATGATCTTATAGGTACTGTGATTCTCTCACAATTTTATCTCGTTACTGGATTAATAATGTCTCTTTAATTACTCTAAAGAGGCATTTTTAGGCTCTTACAGAATAAATAGACATTTTAAGCTGTGTAATATGGTTCCTTCAAATTGATGTTTTAAAATTTGTCTAAAATTCCTTAATCTCTGAATGGTAATTTGAGGGTAAAGACAGAAATATTTCAATACTTGATGGGAAGATATCATAAATTAATATTTATTGTTTGTAAATATGATGTAATCCTGTAGACCAGGTAAGCTATTTTACACATTCCAAAGATAATCTCAGTCTCAAATTTTCTTTTAATAATCAGAAATCACTAGCCAAGTGGTTGAAATAACCTTCTTGGTATTTTATACTGCATATTATCTTTTTTTTCAATGAGAAATATAGTTAGGCATTGTTGTTAGAGTGGTTTCAATGAAAATAGACACTTATTACAATCTCGCATCTCTAATTTATTATTGAATCCATCAGGCCCTTTTGTTTCATATTTCATTAACACAATGGGTTTTTAAATATATTAAAATCAACTTTGAACATTTGTTACAAGTGACAAATTTATTGTAGGATATAAAAGCTTCCAAATTCTAAAAATTATTAATGGGATGTCAGAACATCCCACTTGCCTCAATGTCATTTTCTACACAACTCCTCAGGGAGCTAGCTGATAAATAGTAGAGGATGGTACATTCTGTACTTCAGACAAGCGCTTATCTGAACTTGGTAACACCTCTGGTTCTCCCTGACAATCTAAAATTCAATCCTCAGTTCTGCATTTTGATTTCAGTAGTGGAAGTTAATAATATAATAATGGGATCAGGAGATGAGTTACAAATTGTGACAAATGAATTGTATAAAAAAGCATAGGATAGCATGAAAATTTCCAGAAGCAAGACAAAGTATACAGCACACCAAGAAAAAGGAAAAAAGGGGGAAAAAATCATTAATGGGTGAATAATAAAGGAAGTATCCAAATTTAGTTATGTTGGCAATATTATGTCCCAAGGAAACATAATAAAATTTCAAAACTTGCTCAGATTTGAAAACTGGAATGAAGTATATAAGG